TTAAAAAGGGGGCAACCTTCACACGCTCGGCACAAACAGACGAATCAGCTGGCCGATTAGGTGTGCCCTCGTGATGGGTCGGAGGAAGAGTACGCGCAAGCCCCCACCCAAGGCAAAAGTGATTGAGCCACTACCGAAGCAGTTCAATTGCCCTTTTTGTAACCGCGAGGGCTCTTGTGAGGTGGAAATGTAAGTTGCTCGCCCATTTTGACGTGACTGTTTTAGCAATAGGGAAAAGAGGACTGGTTACGTGAAATGTGGAATATGCCTGGAGGACTACCAGACGTCCGTGAACGCACTCAGCCAGGAGATTGACGTGTACAATGACTGGATTGACGAATGCGAACTTGCCAACTCGTAAATCGCCCCAACAATTACGAATAAAATGTAAATATTCGCGCGTTTGTGTACTTCGTGATCATCTCTTCTTGCCTTGACTGCTGTCGTCTAATGGATGTCTGTGCGTAGAGCCTTTGCTTAATTAGTAACCTGGGCTGAGAGGCACCGACAGACGCGAGAAATATGCGGTCTCAGAAATAAGTCACTCTAATTCAGACTTTGAACTGTTTGGAACTTTTTTGCTGCATTACAACGAATGCATCCAACGAATGTCACATCAGGAGTTACCACTTCCAATGTGCTCAGTTCTCTCTCCCCTTGTGGTCTCTTTCGTGGGATTCTGACTCTAATGAGAGGTCGCCTGCTTTGTGCCTCTTACCCAGATGAGGTGGACGTATAATCATCGACCTGACCCGTCTTCTCACGCCAAAAATGTGTTTTGAACGGTAGTCTCACTGACCGTAAGGCGGACTTGAATCTGGTTGGCAGCCTTCTGCGCCCCTTTCAAACAGGTCAATGCAATGGGTATGCAAAGTGTCTTTAGTGTATTTACATTAACATCTGACTGGAAAGGTGTCGAAGGAACTCCGTGGCTCGTTTGTTTCTCGTCATTTGAAGAATCTCCCTTGTGTTGGAGGCATTCACCTCAGGCTGGTTGATGCATCCTAAAGGAACAAAAGAATGGTTGCGCTTTACATTAGGGCCTTTTGGACATACAAAGGGAGGGATGGGGTTACCCTTCGCCTCACTCACGCAAAAAAGTTGTCCTTTTGGACTGAGAACAATTGGAGAACTGGAGGTTGGCCAGGGCCTCCAGTAGGTCAAGATTCCAGAGGAACGCGGCAATGCCGTCCAGCGAGTCGAAAGTGTATGGCAGCGCGAGATTTCCCTCACAGCGAAGGGACTCGATGATCTGAAGACCCGTGGTGACCAGTGCACGCCTGTCGGATCCAAATTGACAGAGGACTATCGATTCGCCAATGCAGCCCAGTGATCTGCAGCACTGAACCATCGCTGCGAGTGTCTACCAAGGAAGGCGAAGGACAGGAATGAATGACCGCTTAAGGTGCCTTGTGGTT